CTATGGACTTAGTGCCTGTTGTATAAACCTTGGCGACGATGTGACTTCGTGCCTATTTGACATAAATTGCGGAGGAAAGCAATGTTGTCACCCTATGAGTTGTTTTATTTGACATAAATTGCTGAGGAAAGCATTGTTGTCACCCTATTGGTTGTCTTGTTTGACATAAATTGCTGAGGAAAACAATGTTGTCACCTTATTGGTTGTTTTATGTCAGGTTGTCTTATTTGACATAAATTGCTGAGGAAAGCAGTGTTGTCACCCCGATGGTTGCCTTATTTGACATAAATTGCTGAGGAACCCCCGAAGCAATGTTGTCCCCCTAATAAAAATCCTTAGGCTAGGTCCCTTGTGATAGTTGTTTTAGGGACGTAAAGTAAGGATAACGGGAATGAGTAATTAGGGTTACTTTTGGTTGATGAAATTAATAAATTTATTGTTGATTGATGAACTTAATAAGTTTATTATTATTGTGGGTTGAAAACCCTATATGCTCACCAGGCTCCCAAGCCTGACCCACTCAGCCTTTTTATCTTACAGGTAGTGGACCCCGAGCATAGTCGGATGATGATGAAAGAATTTTTGGATTATAGGCCAGTAGTTGTAATTAACTGTTGTAAGGTTTATAATGTCTTGTTTATGCTTTTGATCTGTATCGAAACATGACATCCCGATGTTTTGATATAAAATGAAAATATATATTTCTTAAAGAAAGGTTTTGATAAACTTTTATCATATTTTGTTTTGGGAACAAATTCCGCAACCTCTTTTAAAAAGGACTACTTTGATTTTATTTTAAAAAACATAAACGAAATCGGTCTTTTCTGGCCGTGAAATTGGGGATGTCACAGTTTGTATTAGAGCATTAGTTTAAGTGAACTAGGAATTTGTAGGATTTCTAGACTTAAACTTAGAATGCTAAGTGATGATTGTGAGATGAGTGTCTACCCTATTTTAGACACGAGCATTAGTTTATTTTAAGAAAGATGCCTAAAATGCTTTTATATGCTAAATGTTGTATGTTTGCCATATATGTCATTATTTGTTCGGATCTATGGTCTGTTGCCGACCGGATCTGGAAACCTTATGTGTGTAGGATTCTAAGCGTACGATTACGATATTAGAACTAACATATAAACATTTCGGAGTGATAAGGGAATTGAAATATCTATCGAGGATAAAGATCTATATTCGCCTTATTCGGTATATAGATTATAATGACAAGAACCCAAAGTGGAGCAGGAAATGCAAATAGAAACCAACAACCTCAACCCCAAGCGGTGGAAATGCAAATAGAAACCAACAACCTCAACCCCAAGTGAAATGCAAATAGAAACCAACAACCTCAACTCCAAGTGGTGGAACAGGTGCCTATTATAGGAACTTGGTGACAAGGTTGGTCGGACCACCGCATCGTTTACCGTCGTTTTCACCTCTCATGCTACGAACATCACATTTTTGTATATATCAACAAACCACCATCGTATTTGTGTTTCGCCTCATCGTCGGTCTCCTCCGCCGCCTGAAGTCGCCACTCCACAGGTTTGTATTTTGATTTCCGAAAATTGAATATTTTCTGAACTCAGGTTCTTCCTAATCCTTTCCGAAGTCGACTTTTTTACAGGATTTTTCTTTGTTCATTTGTAAACTGCATATGTTATGAATGCAGTGACATTGTATGGTTCCTATAAATGTTGGATTTGATCATTGAATTTCATCGGATTATACATGTGTTTGGATTGTAATTGGGCAGTGGACCGATTGAATGCACGTCGTGTGTTCGATGAAAGTCTAATGATGATTTAGCAACTGGCGGTCACCAAGAATCACAGCAACAGAAACACGACCGCCTATTTGAAGTCTACATGCATATCATCAGGTAATAATCAAGTTGTAAATTACAATTAACATTCATTACATTTTCCAGATTTACAAATCTACAGTTTGATTAAATATTTTCAAATCTTGGTTTCATTTTTTCAAACTCTGTCTCTCTTCTGTTATCTCCTAAGTATCAGGCAAGTGACTTGACTTTTTTTTTTTTTTGTTGTACAAATTTATCTTCTAAAAGTGATTTTTTTTAGATATGTGTATTAATAGGAAAATAGATTGGATTTTAGATTGAATAAGAGTATCTCTCTATGTATCAAAGAGAAAACAGTGCTACCCCTTCTCATGTTATGCAAATAGGTAAGATTTACCTCTCTTTCTCTTTTGGAAGTCCATCTTCAGCTACTCCATCTTAAAGTTAGTCATTCTGTTTTGACATGATGACTTCATATATAATTTTGGACAAAACTTCTCTGTGAAAAAAGAAACTAATTTGGGGCTTCTTAGATTGGTTATTTGTTCATAATTGGCAGATTTGAAGATTCACATCAACTGCTTGATGAAATGCTTCAAAGAACCGGTATTAGAGCTACTCCATCATCGACTACACAAGCTTCTTACACACTTTTATATAAGTTTTTGGTCTAGATTTGGATAGGCATGCTGAGATTCTAACCAATGAGTTTGGCAAGTATGGTGAGATCGAAGATTGTAAGGCTGTGTCAAGTATGGTGGAAACCATTTACCTGATGTGCTCTCTTTTCTGATAATCTCTTTGAATAAGGTAATTATTAGTGTATCAGATATTAAGAATATAATTTTTCTTTGTCATCTCATTTTTGTTTCAGTAAATAAGAGCAGCAGATGATTGCAATATGTGTATGTTGAAAATGTATTATACTTCTTTTGAATCAAGTAAATATGTTGAAAGCGGTGGATGGTAGGTGGTTTGGTGAGTATATCCATTTCATTAACCATTTAATCATTCACTTTTGGGTATTCTTTTAGTTGATTTTTCTTTTGGGAACTTCATTGTGGGGTTTGAAGTTTGCGTGATTAATTTTTCTTTTGGGATGAAGCCTTTCCAAATTCGAGCTTCAATTCTTCATTCTCATAAAAATTTGAATATATAATGTAAAAATTTTAATATTTTCATAATTCTCTTAAACTTCTTTTTTAAATAAAAATTTACGGATTTTATGACCATTTGTTTATTGTTAGTGTAGCATAAACGGCATGTTGTTAACTTTTTCGCATGGACCGGTGATTCTGTATAAAGTATAATCTTTGAGAGCTTTTTGTTATAATCTTTAAATCATATTTTTCTTTTAATTTATTATATCGTGCATGAAATTTTATGTAATAACATATCACTTACCATTTAACTGTTTGATAATATATAACTATTCAAAGTAATTATATAATAGATTAATCAACATAAAGGAAAATGGTCATATATCAACTAATTATATCAAAGATGTGTTTTAAATGGCCATCACACTACAAGAAGTCTGGGTATTAGCGGCGACGCATGTCGTCGCTAATGGTTGAGGATGTCGCCGCTAATACCTTTAGCGGCGACATGTCGCTGCAGATGCGTCGCCGGTAATGCTTCGTCGCTAATACACACCCAGACGCCGCTAAAGGTTACCTGTCGCCGCTATTGCTTTCGTCGCCGCTAATAGCCAGACGTCGCCGCTAATAGTGTGTCGCTGCTAATAGTGCGGCGACACATGGAGGGAAAAGTCAGCGCGTCTTTTCGCTTTCCTCTACAACCGTTGGATTGAAAAGAAATCGGACGGATAGGGGTATTTTGACGCGGATCGCTGTAAGTGAGCATTAGCGGCGACGCCAGGCAATAGCGGCGACATGTAACACATCAATTACATGTCGCCGCTATTGCCTGGTGTCGTCGCTAAAGGCGTCGCCGGTAATGCTAACCTTTCTTGTAGTGTCATCAAATCTGCACTTTAAAATCCAAAGAATTACAAATACTTGATAACATTTAGAAAAACAATTCTATGACTAATTTTAGTCTTTTTTTAGCAGAATAGCCACTAGAATAGTTAAAAGATGTTATATTTTTGTTTATTGTGTTGTTTTAAAAAAGATCCAATTTGTACTGTGAAGTTTTTAGAAAAATCCCCCAAAAAGGCCATAAAATAAAAACAGGAAGCAAGAATCAATGATACCTTCACAACAAAATGGAGGTGGGTGCCTCTCTTTCTCTCTCTACTTTCCCTCATCTCTGATATAATAAAAATGTGATGTGGGTTTTTGATTTCAGTTACAAAAAGATGAATTTTTGAGAAATGTGGAGTGTTTAAGAGGCACTACATGCATTATTGGCTTCATACGATGGTCAAAGGCAAAGGACTTTCATGTGAACCAATGGTTAGTGGTTAATTTCAATGAATAATGTAGGTGCATAAAATTTAAGCTTTTAGTGTTGTTTAAATTTTCAACTAGATTGATGTATTGATTGATTGCGAGTTACAGAGGTAATAAATACAGTTCATGGAGGGTGATCTAAAACCTGTTCTTTCCCAGTAAGTATAAGCCAAATTTTGGGATTTTTACTTTCGTACATTTACAGTTTATAGACAAGACTTGTATTATGCATTTTAATTATAGGTACCCTGGATTTAACACACTCAAGCTATGTAATAGAGGTGGAATGCATGTTGCCTTTGTGGATTATGAGGTATGTCACTTCATTTTATTTTTGACTCCTTCAAGAGAAAGCAATAGTCCTAATTTAATTAAGTTTTAGTGGTAAATGCACAAAAAAAAAAGGTTAATATTTCGGGAAAATTTCGTTCATATCCTTAAAAACCTTAAAAATTACTTCAATATCCTAATTATTCTTTTATACAGTGTTGTTTAAGCTTATACCACGTCCTTTGAAATTAAAAGAAAAAATGGGATTATTATTTCATTATTTTTCAAATTGTTATCTTGAATGAAAGAAAAAAAAGTGGGATTACTACTTTATTTAAGTAATCTTTGTTGGAATTTTGAGTTTTACGAGAAGTTGATTGTAATAACTCATGTCAAATAAAAATATATAATGTATATAATTAGATTATATATAAAAAAATGATTACTTCAAAATTATTGGGTTAATTAGATGCAAATTATGAGGTATTATGTCTAGAAACCGCCATCCTTGATTAGGTCATAAATTTGAGCAACTGAGGGATAGTAACCGATGAAACCTTAGGCAATATATAGAGCTCGAAATTTCTTGATTAGGTCATAAATTTGAGCAACTGAGGGATAGTAACTGATGAAACCTTAGGCAATATATAGAGCTCGAAATTTCTGGTGGAAACCCCACTGGAATTGCAAGAAACGACTGAGATTTGAAGGAGAAATCGGGTGTGGAAGTTGTTGAAGTTTTTCGGAGTTCCTCTTGAAATTAAGGTATGGTCGCTCGAATTAAGCTTAATATAATAGCTTAGATAGATGTATATGCATGGTAAACGTATTTTGGTTCAACCTACTGTCTCAATTCGATCAAACCAATAGCAATTTGATAAAAATCTTGAGAGTGAAACTTTTGGTATAATGAACCCTGAAATTCGTATGGTTGTGAGTTTATTTGTTAAATTTTAGTGATAATGTGTCAACAAGAAGTGGCGATGCTTAATGGTGATTTTACAATTAAATTTTACAAGATTTTTCAAAGCTTTCCAGTTTTATAAAAATGGCAGAAAAGAACGAAAAAAAAAAGTGCCGGGTGAGGAAGAAAGCTAGTTCGGGTATGGTACATAAATGGGTCAACGTGTGCCGTGCCTTTTAGAAATAAAAAAAGAGTTTATTATTATTGATAATTTATTTATTTTTCTTCATTAGTGGTAAGAAAAAAAAGTCAGTGATGGCAGCGAAGCAACTGTACACTTCTTTTTATTTACTTGTTTGCAAACCGTATATATATGCCATTTTCTTTTCAAGTGTTCAGAAAATACAATATTAGCCCCACAACTTTTAAAACTATTTATTTTACACTATCATATAAGAAACCGAAATTTTCAGATAGAACCCCTGGGTTTTATAAACTTGCCGATTCTTTTGAAGTTACAGAGTTTAACATAGTTCGGCTTTAGCCCTGCACTTTGATAATATATAGTTCAAAATAATTTTGGATATTACGAATGATGCTTTCAAATGTTTTAACATCGCTTACTTATTTATTTATTAATCATTATGGAGTATTTATTTTGTGAAGGGAAGTATTATAATATCTAAAGGACATTTTTTGAAAGGGTTATTACGCATGTCATAATTAACGTAAATTGCTAGCTATTGAGTCGTCGAATGATACATGTTGATGGTTGAACCAAAATAAAAACATAGGATATTTTATAGGATTATAGCCTTAGAAAATACTTGTTGGTGGAATGTAGGGTGTGGGTAACGCGACAAGCTCTGGTTAAGTCCTAACAGGCAACAAGATGAATTTCGTGTGAATTTTATGGTTGCTTGCATGAAACGTTGATTCTAAATTATTTGCAATTACATGTTACTGTTGTTATTGATGTGAATATTTGTGTGAATTTTTATGAATTATTTCATATAAAAGGGTGAAAATGGTGGGTGACATATATATAGGGAACAAGTGTATTAACTACACGGTCTTTTTATTAGTCGTCGTACAGCGTGTCAGTACGCGGCGGAGAGCTTACGCTCTGATTAATTAGCCGTAAGCATATTTGTTGTGCCCGGCGGAGGGACTTGTTCCCTGGAAATGACGGTAATTCCCTAATGTGTCACCAAAGGTGGAAAGAAATGAAAAGAATTATATTTTATAAATTGATGCATTGTTTTTATTTTATTGACGTCAATATGCATGAAAACCACGAACTCACTAGGCCCTAGGCTTACCCATTAGAATCTTTAAATGCACGCAACCCAGGAAACAATGTAGCAAGTGGCAGCGGGAATGGAAACGATAAGGCTCAGACTTGAAGAAGGCGGCAAGTTTTGAGGAAGACTTAGCGCACTAAGTGTTTACTTAATTTTTCTATTTGCTTCCGCTATTATTATTAATAATGACTTTAGTAATTGAATTTCCGAATTTTAGAAGTTTTGGGACCATGTTAAGTTAATATTGGTATTTGAAATTTGGGGCGTTACATTGATGCAACTTCAAAATGTTAGGGTGTCTATTAGTTCAATAATGAAAGTTAAAATTTGAATATTATTTTCTTTGAAAACATCACAAATTATCAAGTTATGCCTATTACTTATATTTATTTTTCACTTCTCAAAATATTGGTTTATTGTCTTGTAGCTAATTGTTGCTCGTAGATAACATGAAGTTGAAGAGGTCTGATATGAAGAAATGCAGTTGCAAACAAGACAGACAGTAAAAGTGGAACCATTAGAGCATCAAAGACTCATAGAAGAAGCTATATACTGTCTACATACATTTCTATGGCATTTTCAAATTCTTAGTTCTTCTCCCCTTTATTCTCATACTCCCAACAGAATTTTTTCAAGAAAGAATTTGAAGGAAATATTGCTTACACTTGAAGATGATCATATCAAATCTCATATTTTCCATCATTGCCCATTTAGCCCAACCATGGGCTAAATACAATAAGTAACATTTTCTGCCCCATGCAAAGCATGAGCTTCCTTCTAGTATATATTAAAACTTTGTTCCCTTATGAATAGTAAACTTGTATGTTTTTTTTTGTTAATTTTGCTCCTCATATTTTTTTAGTCATTTTGACACGTTTGGTCATTTCAATCAAAATTTTTACATTTTTTAGAAACCTTTTAATATTCAAAGTTTGGTCACAAAACTTTAAAGAATTGACTAATTTGGTCCCTTTTCTAAAAACTTGATAATTCCAACCCTTTTAATTCTTTAACCATTTTGACACTTTTGGTCCTTACAGTCAAAACTTTTATATTTTTTCATAAAAATGAAGCCCGGGTTTTTCTGCTAGTTATTTTTAATAACTTATTTTTATTGATATTTTAACTACTTAATTATATTATGTACAATGAATAAATATTTTGTCTTTTATATTACATTGCATACACATGAAATGCGTCATTTTACGAAGCAATTACGTGGCTACAAAATGTATATATGAAGACTGAAGTTTAGCAAATTTGGAGAGTTTAAATAAAGAGTTGATACTTACTGTAATGTTATTTCATAATGAAATTGTTCATGAATCATGATTATAGGAATTTTTTTGCGGGTAAAGAATTTAAGGATTCATAATTATATTAAAAATGAATAGGAGAAACTTGAGACAGTATGTAACCCATGTTTATAGTCGGAAACATTCAATATTTGTAATTCGCAAACTGATTGTTGTTATTTAGTTAAACGTTTTTAAAATGGTTTAACTACAAAAAACAACACTGCCTTCCATTTTTTTTTATTTGATCATTAAAGATTCAATATTATAAAATCTTTCAGAATTTTATGAAAAAGGAACACAAATTAAGTTGGTTGTTAGTTTTTTTTTATCTTAAATAACTTGAAAGAAACGTAACTAACTTTATTTATATTATAGGGAAAATAACAGTTGTAACAAATTAAAATGTGTTTTTCTACTGATTTTAATTTGCAATAACTAAACAAAAAATCAAAGTTAGTATAGTTGGTGGGGCATAAAAATTCGTGATTGACTTCTTGTTGCATATGGGTAGTGGTTGTCCCTTTTTGACTTAATGTTCCACATGGGTGATGCTGACTTCTGTTTTCTTCATGAGCCACGAATTCTTTTGGAGAAATTCTGAAGTGGATCATTAGTTGGATTTAGTTTGTAATTGTGGGGGGATAAATTCAAACCAAAACATAAAATAAATAAAGTGGAATGGTGTGGAATACCGAATACCACGTCTTATGTACATATAAAGGTGAAATGTTTTAAGTATTTATAAATCGTAAGTTGTTGACTACAAATAACTTTATCGTAGTTTTAGTTTGATATTATTAAAATAATTTGTAACTTGGACTTAAAATGCAACCAACGTATATAAGTATGTTCGTGCAATTTAAGAGCAATTCATATGGTTTTGTTTATTGTTCCAATTTGATAAAAAAAAAAGATTTTATACTTGGTATTTAAAGTATTCAAGATACAGTAGACATTAATGAAATGGAGAAGTTTTTAAAACCATATTGGGAATAACCCAATTGTAAGAGGCATAACCTCTTAGTTTTGAGGATGAATCCTTGATGGTAACAAAAATTAAAGTATTAATAATAATACCTAACCAATCAATCTGCCATTCAAAAAAAAGTCTAAGATTAGTTTCAATTTTTTTTTTTTGTTTGTCGATCGAGCAATATTTTAGATTGAAATATTACCGATATATCTTCATATCAAAATAACCCACCAATGTGGGATAATAACTTGTTTATATACCAAACTTACATGTTTTTACAAAAAGAATTCTCCAATAAAGTCCCAATATTTTAGGCGAATTTACGCTTTAATCCCAAACTAAATTTTGTTTACAAAAAAAGACAGAATACCGGCTAAAACTCCGGATTAACCATCTGTGGCCGGTTTTGCAGATTTAACCAGTATTCCGACTTTTTTCGTTAATTCGTCAAAATATTGAGACTTTTTGGTTAATTCAGCTAAAACTTCGGAATAACCATTTTATCAATATATTAAAAATGGTTTGTTTTTCAGTTAATGTATTTTTGTTCATCTCTTTTTATATAACGTTATATATTCAATTTTAAAGTCACGAAATTTAGAAAAAGTATCTATACAATGCAAAAAACTAACAAACTTCATAAATTTGTCCAAAAAACTTTACTGGAAGATAGAGTGATCTATGATTGCCAAATGAAATTCATACAAAATTATTGTATATATTTTTTTTACTTCAAGATTAGTCTAAGTATTGGGATAACCACAAAACATATGTAATAATACTAATCGTGTATACTTAAATCTATGGGATAGCATTACTCATTAATACTCATTTTCTATTCAATCATGACTTCAACACACTCATATTAAACTTGTACCTCAATATGCCAAGGACAGTAGCAACATCTTGGTAGCAACTAGTCTTGCCTTGGTTAGACCACAAAACACAGATTCGCTTGAACATTGATACCTTCATTTCACACATGCACACACATGTTCTAGATCAGAAACTTTTATGCGTGTGTGCGCACATAAAATGGAAAGACAAAGATCTATCTGAGGGGTGTGTGTATGTATCCCTTATCGCATCCTTCCAAATTCTGCAATAGATAAAAAGAAACAGAGGAGAAAGAGGGCATGTGGATTAAAGTTTTAAACAACCAATAGAATGAGAAGAAAATGAGTATACCTTATTAGTATTATTACATATGTTTTGTGGTTATCTTAGTACTTAGACCAATGTTGAAATCAAAAGAAAATATACAATAATTTTGTATGAATTTCATCTTGCAATCATGGAGCACTCTATCTTTAGTAAAGCTTTTCAGACAAAATTATGAAGTTTGCTAGTTTTTTGGATTGTATAGATACTTTTTTTCTAAATTTCGTTTTAAAACTAGATATATAACGTTGTATAAAAAGAAATGAATAAAATGCATTCATTGAAAAAACAAATCATTTTTAATATATTGATAAAAGGGTTATTCCGAAGTTTTAGCTGAATTAACGAAAAAGTCCCAATACTTTGATGAATTAACGAAAAAAGCCGGAATACCGGCTAAATCTGCAAAACCAGCCACAGAGGGTTATTCTGAAGTTTTAGCCGGTATTCTGTCCTTTTTTGTAAAAAAATTTAATTTGAGATTAAACCGTAAATTGGCTTAAAATATTAGGACTTTATTGAAAATTTCCCTTTACAAAATTACTTAAGTTATAATCCAATGGATTTCTTATTGGGTTATGTAACATATTTCAGTTTGCTACCAATTTAGACATAAATATAGTTTAGTAATGAATTAAAACATTCATACAATCCTCTCTAATAAATGAAGATTTTTTTGTCACTTGTCACACTCTTATTCAATTTGCCAAATGTCATTTTGTGGTTATTTTGAATTAATTTTTTTTCCACATGTCATTTTATGATTTTTTCTATTTTATTAAATTTCATATAATATTTTAATGTAATAATTGCAATAAATGTAATAATAAATGGATATTAATTTCACTAATAAACTTAATTTCTAACTTTAAAATTCCCAAAATTAAAGTTTATTAGTTTCTTTTCTTTATTTAAATTATTTGTTTAAATTTAAAAACTAAAAAACATTTTCATTCTAATAAATCATTATTTTTCTTATTTTCTTATAAATTCAAAGTTCTCAAATATTTTGACATTTATATTTATTAATTTTTTTAAAATTAACTCATGTAATACATGGGTCTCACAACTAATAAACTACCAATTTAGATATGAATATAATTTGGTATCGAATTAAAACACTCATACTTAAATTATCTTCATCTCCGTATATTAACAAAAGAATAGTTATTTTGTCATGTGTCACTCTATTATGTCTCCTAATTAATGTCATACCACTTGTCAACCTATTGATTTTTCATTTCAAATTTAAAATTTAAAATTTTCCATTCTAATTACATTAAATTAATAACATTAGAATAAAAATAAAATAAAATTAATACAGATTATAAGGTGATATAATTTCACGTATTTATTTGAATTAACGATTATAATTTTATATAACTAAGAAAAATATCTCTTAATTATAATTTATTTAAAATAATTGATTAATAATTTTGAATTTTTATTATAAAAGTTTAATTAATTTTGTAATCGTGGTTTCTACAGGTTATAAACTAGTAACGAAATATATGTCATTGCATAATTTGCTATAAACATATTATATTACATAATTGACCTCAAAATATATTGAGATATTGGCTAATTAAAGTAACCATATTTTTAAGTTAATATGAAAAAATAACTAATTTTTTAAAATGATCATATGGATCACTCAAGACATTTAAATGTTTTGTCTTTTGTTTTTTATTGAAAATGTACATTTCAATTGGAATTTCAGATTTTAAAAAGAAAGCTCCACGAATTTCAAAAATAAGTACGAAATACAATGAACAATTTAAGAATTTTGTGAATTTTTTTTTGGTTTTTTAATAAAAGCTAACAAAAGTTAAAGAAATTGTTAAAGGAACATAGTGATTAAAAGTATATATGATAAAAGTTCTTAAATTAAACATTTGATTTAAATATTTGATTGAAAAATGATCTCAAAATTGACATTTTGGACATGGGACTAGAGAGTTTAAAACAAAAAATTTGTGCATACGAGAAACATATACATAAAATATTTTTGATTAATATGGAATGTCAAGAACAAGTCCGAAATAAACCATTTAGGATAAATTGGTCTTTTTTACATAACATAAAAAAAACGTGATTATACTAGTAAAATCTAATGATAATGGTTGGTTTAATCGATATCATCTTCCGTTAGAAACTACAGTTGTTAGTGTCTTTTTGTACATTATAAGTGTAATTAATTTCTTATGAACTCAAATACATGTGCATTTCATACAACATATATGTAACCAATTTCACGCATTCACAAAATAATAATA